CATCAAATCTAAAGGGACTCTTATTTTATACAAGAAGAGCTTTTGAAAGAATATTATCTTAATATCCAATCAAATCTCAATTTTTCATAGAAAAGGGAAAACACAAGACTACTACACAAGACTGAAGCTCTTAAATCTATTAAAGCACGTGAAATCTCGTCACCGGTCATCGCGAATTGTTAATACCTAAAATAGAGAGAATACAGTACACAATAAACAAAAAAAAAGGAGAGAAAGGAGGATTTCCATCAGAAGCTAGCACAGGAGACGCACTGAAGGCGTGCGTTGCGGGTGCGTCGCGCAGGTACCTATGGGAAGCTGCCCGGGGTCCACACTATACCAAACATCACATGTTTCGGTCCGATCGCTATTTTATTACGCTGAATCCGATAAAAGTGTGTTAACCAAACATAAATATCTGGCAGTATTCCATATGAACAAAATAAAATTGGAAATATATCGAGAGCTTCCATACGCAGAATTTCCAAAAAACTCGAAAATGACAAGGAAAATTGAGTGGCTTACGGAAAAAATTCAGTCATAATGTAGGTTTTTCATCTCCCCCTCTTCTCTTCTAAAACTACAGCATTTTTCTTAACACCGAAAATTTGAATCTTCAGTTGTAATATTTATACTTTAGTGAATTCGCTACTCTCGTCAAAAGGCATACTCGCCTACATCCCCCTCCCCTCCACCCCATCCTTCAAACACCATTTCGAATTTTCTCTTTGTATACACTTATTTTCATACTTTGCTGTGTTTGGAGAAAAATTACTAGGACGTCTTAACTGCTAAGTTATCAAAATATTCCCCTTAAATGTCTCTACATGGCCTGTTAAATCGATAGATCAAAAAATCTATTGAAGTATTCTGCACGCATTTTTACTATAGTATTATGTCGTTCACAATTATACATGAAAAATTTGTACTAGTCTTGCAGTTCTGGATTTTATTCAATCTTCAATCACCTTTTCCGTGGTCTCCCCTTACAAATCTATCTTACAATGCCTACCTAGTCTCGATTAGTCCAAAACGAACACCTCATTGTGCGGCAGATCAAAAGGACGAGTTTTCGCCGACCGGTGTGCCCTTTATGTGAGTCGTTATGCCTAATGAGACATCCAAACCAGAAACCATTGATTGGGATTTGTCAGAAACATGGAATTCTGGATAGTGGATGAATACTCTACTCTTTTCCCGCTTTTCTTTCAGTGAAAGTGACGAATTCGTGCTAGTTGCCCGAAGTCATTTTTCTCAGACAACAAATTAATTACCCATTCTGTCGTTTCGGTCGACGATCAAATTGCTGCGGGTCAAGTCGAGCTAACCCGATTAATGACGTGGGCATCACGTGATGCATGAGATTGCTTATTTTGCCAGAATAAGACAATAACCTCAAAATCATTGAATCACTCATGGTATTAACTCGTTTGCTAGGTTTTTATTCAAGGAGGGGTTTGAGATTTTTTCCAGTGAGAAATAAGTTAGCTTTATTGAATAATTTCCATTAAATTAGCGTAGTTTGTGAGCTTGCAAAAATCTTGTGAAGCCTTTCAAAAAAAACTGGGCGCGCGGCTTCTCTCATTGTCTACAAAAGAGGTACCGCAGACATGGTACATAATTCTGAGAAGATCTAAATTTTTTATCTGTCACCAAACTGATTTGATTTTCTTAAGAGTAGAGAAAAATTGGCAATATGGACTTGGTGCTATCCGGTTATAATCGGCAAAGCAGAGGAGATTTTATCTGTTTTGGCGATTTTCTGAAAAAATTTCCACAATTGCGATTGTACTTTCAGTGAGCTTTTGACGCTAAAGTTTCGAGTAATTTTCAGAATTTTTGAAGATTACTATCGTTTGTTTACAGTGGTCCAATTTCACATGACTCGATTGTGAGACGAGGTGAGTGCGATGCACTTTCGGTTCTGTGAAATGTGATCTTACTGAACGCGCAGATGATGTCTTACATTTTACAGGGAAAGCAGGGTAAACAACATCTGTTATATGTTGATGCTTTGATGTAAACAATGCTAAATCTGGCAAGGTAATACACTAGTCACTTGAGAGTAGGAGAGCTAGAAAAAATGATTTTTGGAAATTAAAAAAGTCATTCTATCTTCATTCCTTACATTTTAGATTCTTTAATTTTCTCACAAACATTACTAATATCACCACAAATCACAAAAATGTGTTGGCAACCGTTTGTATTACGCAATATTTTTTAGTGCAGGAATATATCGGCATTTCCAGTGAAAATGTTTTTCAGTCAGTCTGATAGGTCTTAGAAGGGAAATTTTTTGAAAAGGAAGCATTAATTCTTCTGAGAACAAAAAAAAAACAGAAAACAAAAAACATTTGAGGGTTTACAAAGTTCTAGCCGGAGAAGACGAAAAACAAATCTCTTGTGGATTGGCAATCTGACAAAAATTCGTTATAGGCGTTTTCTTAATATCCATCTAGCTTTTCTTATCAAGTCACTGAATTTTCATTAATTTATCGCACACTTGGGAGCACAAAAAAACAAACAATAAAAATGACTTGGAAAGAAAGTAGTTAAAGAACTTCCAAGAATTTGTATGCCCGTTCCTTTCTATACACCTCCCTCTCCCCTCTTTAGCAGAAGTCAGCCCACAGTTTCATGATAACGATCTGGAAGATTGCCAAGAAGCGAGACCCACATTCTCCAAACACCTGTTTTGATAGCTGGCACGAGTCCAAGTCATTGAACAAACTCCAAGATCGTGGTGATAGTATGAAAACTCATACATCTTGCTAGTAATGAGCCAAACAGCTGTGTTGAATTCCTACGCTATGGTTATTTATTCTCACCGTGAAAACCGCAAAAACAATCTGGCTGCGGTTACGATTGATGGAGTATTTTTTTCTTATACAAAAAAATAGGTGAAAATTTTCAAACTCTGTTGCCTTCACCTCCTATCTAAGCCCAATGACCCGAAGCCAACGAAAAATTCTTTGTAGCCGTTTGAATTTTTGCAAAATTTCCTACAAGCAAACAGTGGAGCCTTCTATTTTTGGATACACATAAAACAGACTTCTTTCTGAATGCATAAATTCTTGGATAAGGACAAATAAATCAGTGAAACCCCACCATCTGCTCGTACACTAAATTTTGGTCAGCATAAAAAACTCCAAGTCAAAATATTTTACAAACTATTTTTTTGTGGTGAGAGCAGGCTTTTTAAGAGCTCAAAAGTACAATTTAGCTAGATTGTGGAGATAACTTTGCAAATTGCATTGATGAAACTCCTGAAGAGGAATTCTTTCGATCTTGTGATGTTTCCCCCTTTATAGGCAAAATCAATATCAAATGCTAAATTCGACATTTAGATTAATTTCATAGACATTGGTACTATTCAATCGTGAAATATTGCATTGCTAGACTTGTCACTGACATATGTGGCCTTATCCTTTCCATAGAATTAATGAATGTAGTATATCCATATACCTATTAATAAATCACAAAGGTCTGACAAGCCCTTTGTACTGCAGCTTTTGTGGTATACACAAAAATCACCAAAAATAGACACTATTTCGACAGTTTCTTGGACAGTTCTGCTAGTGCGCAGTGAAAATAAAGGTCATACAAACAACGTCAGCTGCAAGGACGCTTATATGAGGACAAAGAGGGATGGGATCTGTGCTTGAGTAAACGACGAAGACTCCGCCCATGCCACGCCCACTTGAAGTTTCTTCTCGTGTCATTTTGTGGGCATACCTCGTGCATCTACAAGCTTCCCTGCTTGCTGTATCATTTCCTGGCTAGTCTTTAGTGCTTCCCTCCCCCCCTCCCCCTAAATTCGAATAGAATGGTTAGCCCCCTTCCCCCCCCCCCCCGCTTACAAGGCTACTAATTATAGGAATAATCGTGACCAGCTGTTCGCTATCGTTTATCTAGAGAGCGAAGTGCGCACAGATCGCATCGATGTCTGCGCTTCCACACACCCGTGCACGTTCCCCGTCACTCTAGCCCCCCCCCCCCCCCGCCCGATCAGCTGGTCGACAACGGGACACGGGGCTGTAGAGGAAGCAAAACAGTACAAGTGCTGTCGTCACCCTGCATTCGCGTGGTGCTCTGCTGCAATGTTATCATTCTGATGCAATCTTGATATTTTGTGCTTTCAAAGGTAAGCCGCCTCGACTCCTCGAAATGGATAGCGAATTTTCGATAGTGGTCTAGTTCGGTTATAAAGTTTGGCTGTAACATATTATTGAAAATTTGAAAATTAAAGCTAGCTTAAACGCCCATTTGTTCAAAAAAAAAAATTTCGCTGCACCGTTTTTCTTCCTTCTTCATTTGCTTTTTCCTCGACCGCCAATGGAACGTAAATTGATTTTATTTTTTAGTGTTTTCATGAACTTGTCAACATATCTTTATTCTTTTGCCTCTGTATTCTTGCTGAAACTGAAGTGCTTTAAACGGGGGAGGGGGGGGGGGAATACTCCCGGAGGGATCGTTACTTTCCCTGATGTGGAAAAGGCGAAAAAAAAACTACAATTGTGTAACGGATTATCCTCTAAAATAGGGAGTATAGGGGGATGCACCTTCCTTACCCGCCCGTCCAGAGTAACCCAGGTAAAATTTGGCATTGTATAGTCTGGAAGACATACAAAATTGTGCAAGTAACTATACAATCGTGAATAGCCAAAATTTTCATAAATTTCGTAAAAATTGAAGTAGTGATAATTATTTTCGTAGGTGTGGTCCTGAGGTCATCCAAAAAAATATCGGTAATGGTACTGTATTTCACCAGCTCAAATTTTACTAGCGCTATAATTTTCCTTCTTTTCTGACAAAATGAACTTTTCTCATACTCACTCATGATCGAGTGCATCGATTTCAGGGAGAAAGCTGTCAATTACTCTTTATCACAATTTCGCACTTGTTTCTGACGTTTTACGTTTTACAGTATCCCCTGCCAGTCGTAACCATCTGGATGCAAAATCGTACCCAAAAAGCTCACTCATCATTTTAGGAGGACCATAGCATTTGCGTTTCAGGAGAAGAGATTTCAAGGGATCTCTCATCGCAGTACAACCGTAACTTTTCCAGATACAAACTCGTCTAATAGATTCTATCTTTGTATCAAACAGACCCGCATACACTTTGATTCTCCCCACTTCACGAATGTACAATGCTGCACCCTGCTGAGGTCTGGTTTTTCTAGGTCCCGCCGTCACCTCCCCCCCCTCACCTAGTCGAGCGGTTCTTTTGTACGAGTTCACCCAGCAGGTGTGACTACGTGCGGCGTAGTTGTTGTGTATTTTAGCGTAACTGGACCCCGTTGTCTTTTGTGCTATCACGGTCACTAATCATTTTCACACTTCGTTACGCAGCAATGAGTTAAGGTTACAGTAACCTTGCGCGGTATCACGATCAAAACTGTGTTTTGGGCAGGGAATGGGGGATGGGGCTTTCTTCTTACGTGGAATGTGAATGTTTTCCTCCTTAAGCCCGTAATCTCAGAAATCATAACATCTGTCACGGCTTAGTGTGTCACGGGTGCCAGAACGTCTGTCGTGTGCACACACATAACATCTAGCTAGCAGTGTTTTCACTCAAACAAATGTCTTTGTGTTTCTTCCGGGTTCCAAAATAGCTCCAGCCGACTTCCCCCCCCCCCCCTCCCTCCCTCTCGGCCATAAAAAATGACAGTATCACAACTTCTCTCAATCAACAACAGCAGTTTTTTCGCATTTTTTCCGCATCTCCAGCTAACATTAATTTATAGATATCTGTTTTTTCTTCCTGATTTTATGATAGCTTCCCTACCCCCCCCCCTTCCTCGCCATAAAAAAACGACAGTATTTCAATTTCCGTCTTAACAATGCATTATTTTATTCAAAACAGTTGTCCAGTTTCTTCCAGGTTTCAAACCACCCGGTCTTCCCACCCTTCTCCCCCCCCCCCACCATAAAAAATGACAGGCATTTTTCTGCATCTAGTTAGCATTGTTTTTGCTCGACTATTTGTCTTACTGATTTTTTCCGGGTTCAATAGCTCCACCCCTCTCCTCATCCCACCCCTTCCCCCTCGCCTCTTATCCCCCTCCACAATCCTAAACAAGTGACAGTATCTCGACAATTTCTCCCAATCTGAACAGTAAGAATTTTTTTTCTGCATTTTACAGTGTAAGAGAGCATCATGTGACACCAGTAGAGTGCTGCCTGCTCTCGTTCGATATGGATACCGTTCCACTCTATTTTTTGTCGTATGTTTGTTCATTTTCGATATTGGATACTTTTTTTGGAGATGTGAAATGTCACATTCACGAACATATGCGCAAATTAAAATTTAGAAATATTCCAAATACTCAGAAAAAGAATGTTAGCTATTCCAAGTTTTACCGAAATAGCTTTTATTTGTAATTTCTCTTTTATTCAAAGATCAGGTACGAGTTTTGTTTGAATTCTGATGAATTTGCTTTCATTTACAATTTGCTTCAGTATTCAGGAAAGAAAGGCTAAGGAAGTTAAGAATTCATTGATTTTTCAAATTACGAAAGTTACAGATAGGGGAGCTTTATGAGTTTTCTTAGATTGCGGTTCATTCGGTCCATTTTTTCTGTACCTTTTCTGCTATAATCATGACTGTGATACGCAATTTTAGGTAATGAATGGAAAAATTGGCATAGGCTTATTTTTGGATGCAAAAATTTAGTGCTACAAACTCGTCAATATTTGGGAAACACAAGAGAGAATTTTTAAGACGTGGCTGATGTGACTCTTGTTCGAAAGAGCTTTTTTGCCTCTTCCTCTCTAACCAAATAAATTCTTGGGACCATTGCAGAGGAACCCGTCATTAATTGCGGCCAAGCACCCTTAGTTCAGAGTTTATTTATATTTGGAATTCCCCTGAATAAGGGGAAGAGAACGATGGCTTTTAAGTACCGTATCGTCATGAGTCACTCATTTCACTGCGCTAGTGCAAAGGTGGAGTCACTTTAGCTCTATTATATCAGTTGTCCATGTTCTGAATAGCTTTGCTTCCCTTGAATGGATTATTTACCCAGATGAAAGTCTGCAGAGGATTGCTGCAGTATTACTTTATTTTTCGGGTCAGATGACCTTCATTATGTTTTTAGTATTGCAGGTTTGTTTGCTACAGTAACCCTTGTAAGAAGGATTGAAAATACAGTCGAGTAGATTTAGCGGTAAATATAGTGTGCTTGCACAGAAGGTGAAATGCGGTAAAATTGGCGCGTGAAGAAATAGTTTCGACTGTGACGCGGGCCAATTGCGCGCGCAAGATACCCGCGGTACTGACGTGGCTACTTGTTCACGCGCAAATTTCACCGCATTTCACCTTCTGTGCAGGCACACTATATTTACCGCTAAATCTACTCGACTGTATATGCAGATCGACAAGGCGTCGATAGATCGATAGTGTCTCTGCGGTGCCAACAACGTTTGCGCGTAAAAAAAGGCCGTGATCATCTTCTAAATTCTGCGCGGCATGGTCATTGTTTTACGCGCAATAGTTGTAAACTCTGCAGGTGCACTACATAAGTCAGCGAATCCAATAGATTGTATGCGGCAAAGCAAGAAGTGTACTGTTTCCCAAGAAGTCCTTACTACAGATAGGTTTGAAGTGGCATCTTTTGAAAGCCCTTACCGTGCTACCTTCGAGCAGACCAGTGCCCTCAAGTACGGTCTGGGTGAGAGTTCAGAGCTGAAATTTTTGACCATCAATGCATATGTAGACTTGCCGCTTTAGTTATGGCTTAGCTTAAGCTTCCTAATCATTATCCACATGAGAAGTCCAGCTATCCGTTTTTACCCAGATACTTTCGAGGGTTGCTCGGGCATTAATTGCTCGATTCTGTAACCACACAAGCTGCACTTCACCACACGACGATGACGTAATACTCTTGCAGAGCATGGCTCCTTGCAGGCTCCGCTTTGCTTCTACGCTATTCTCACCCACTATAAATCAAACATCTGCTCGGTTTTGTGCTTTCAGCCGCTTTATTTGCATATCGATTTCCGCGTATGCGCAAAGCGCGTAGCGCACAGCGCGCACAAACACCGTATGCGTCAATTCAAATGCACACACGCAGCACACCAAACACACATCCCAGTAGTCAACAACTTTATGTGGAACATTACGAGCGATTTCAGTGCAGCAGAGTGCATCCACGGCCATTTTGCACAATTACACGGTAAAATGCACAATGAAGCGGATCAGCTGTAGGCTTTGATCGGGCATAAATCTTTGTGAATCATCTCGCGCAAGTGCCATAAAAGCGATGGTGATATTTTAATACCCGAGATTGCTTTAGTGAAGCGGATTAGTTTTTTTATGGGTTTAATATGAGGACCGCAAACTAGAAAAAAAGTTCGCCCACCTGGCAGCCTTTTTTCGTAGTAAAATAAAATGTAAGGGCATCAAAAGTGCCAATGCTATGAAAGTCGAGCACAATGGAGTCATTTACATTTCGATTATGTGAATTTGCACACGGTGCGCGGTACCTCACGACTCCTAGGTTGTGATAATCAGTAAAATATTTCTAGTGAAACCAATTATTCTAAAAGTGGTAATTCACACTTCTTTTATACCTACTGTACAGTCAGCTGCAGATATGACGTGAATTGCACAACATGCGCGCTGATTGACGACTTGTAAAATTAGAACTGCTCTTTTTCAGTGTATTCTTCTAGTGTTCTGTATTTTTGATTTACTGGATATGTACTAGTCAGTAATACACCTTTGTATCGATGTCACGTTAGAAAATATTTTAGTGAGTCATTAGTAAGGGTGTCATCGTTTGCTGCGCTTAGTGTGTAAACTCACACATCAAGTTACAAATGAATTAAAGGTATAACAAATTCGAAGAAGAGCTACATTGTGCCAAGGAAGTCACCAAATTTCAAAATTCTACTCAAATAGAATCTACAATTTTCAAAGTCTCAAGAAAGCGCTGTTTGCTGGAATTTTTCAAGTTTTTCAAAATTGATTTTTCGCAGATTTTGTTACACATCTCTTCCAACCTTCTGCTCACTTTTCTGAACGTTCTTTCTCCCCCCCCCCCCCTACAAGACTTGCTAATCCTTACAGATTCCCTCCTGCTCACAAAAAGATTTTTCAATACTCCCACGGGATTTTTTCCCAATTGCATTCGCTGAATTGCCTCGCGCGAATGCACAAATGCGCTGCCCGATGAGAACGGGAAAAAAATTGCGACTGGCGAAACAAAAAAACTGTTTGTGTCGAGAGAGACACTGACGAGACAAGAGTTCTCGAAGGCTTGATTGCGTCAGTGGTGTGCAAAATCGCTTTGCAATGACGAAGAGGAAGAATTTGGTCTGTGTATGCACAAGCAGCACACTTATGTCACAGCAGTAGGCCCAGTCCTTGGGGTTCTTTGTTAGCGCTGGTTCTGAGGAGAAATCCTACACCCTAACTTTCAAAAAATTTTATTTTTGCCTAGCTATCGATCCCTCTGCACAACCCTTCGTCGAGGAAAATTTCCCATTTCTCCAGCCGATTTACCTTGTCAAATACGTTGAAAAAGCGCTTAACTGTTTATTTTCGTAAGCAGCAGCTGATAAATCCAGTATTTCGACGAATCCTTTCTCCTATCAGCGGGCGGTTCCTCGTCTCTCTCGAAAAAACTCGTTGTTTTCGTGCGATAACGTAGAAAACAGCTGATCTGTCGTCTCCAAGAGCGCCGGTTTCTTCTCCCTCCTCGTCGGCGCCGATCGAACGATTTTTTTTTCGGCTTTGCGTTTTCTTGAGCTTTCGCTTTTAGCTCTTATAAATAGCTTAACAGATAAGAATGTGCAATTTTTTTCCGACCCTTTTGCAGAATTTTGGAGGTATTCGTGCAATTGCAGATTCCATTTGTTTATAAAGTGTTTTGTTTAGACAAAAGCGATTAGTCCTTGTTGCGAGGGAGCAAAAACGAACTAACGAAGAATTAGCTGTGCCAGATGGCAAATCATGACTTCTTCTATATTTTGGATTCGATCTTATTGTATCTTACAGTGCTTTCCCTTCCTCCTCCCCCCCCCCCCCCTCAATTCCCCCATTTTTCTGC